GTTAATTCCATCCCCGGTGCGCAGATGGAAATCCAGAAATGGAGGGGTGCCTGGGCGGCTCAGTCGGTTAAGTGTCTGACTCTTGATTTCGGCTCCGGTCATGATCTCATGGTTTGTGGGTTCGAGCCCCACATTGGGCTCTGTGCTGACAGTGCGGAGCCTGCTTGGAATTTTCTCTTTCTCTGTGCCCCTCCTTCTCTCTCTCTGTCTCTCAAATAAACAAACAAACAAACAAAAAAAAAGATAACCAAAAGTGGAAAGTAAGTGGACAGTGAACAAATAAGACTCTGACCCAGGTACCAAGCTGTCCTGTAAAATAAGCCAGAAGGAGACCATCGAATTTATCAAATTTCCTCATCCTCCTAGACGGGGCGAGTGTGCTCCTCAGGCCGGTAGCCGAACAGGTGTCAGCTTGTCCAACAACGGAAGCTGCCTGAGATGCTTCTAAAAATCCTTCTGGCAAAAAATATCCCACTTAACAGACAGGTGATAGAAGAAAACTCGCTTTTGGATAATCAAGACTGGGTCGCAGGCGGATTCTGCAATCCTGTGTTTTACAAGCCGTGTTGCTTAATGGTTAAGTCTGCGTTTACGTATCACCTCAGGCTGATGACTGTCGTCTTAGTGTATTTCAGAAGGGGACGTGTCCACGCGTCGACCTCTAAATAACCGGGTCCGTTTTAATGGAGTTTGGCAATCTGTCACCTCAGTGTGGTTATCACATAGCCACAGACTTTTTCAGTTACAAATGGCGGCGAGAAAACGTGGGGCCTCCCTCACACGTCAAACTGAAAAAAAAAAAAGGAACTAGAGCGTCCCATTCACTTAACTGTATTATGATTTCAAATCGTTCACGTGAAGCTTCGCAATCTTTGAGGCAATGAGTCATTCTGCGTGTGCTTTCCTAACCTGGACGACTCAAAGTGACTCTTTCCTAGAGGTTGACTTGCGGTCTCTAAGCTAAAAGCGTAAAGCGCGTAGACCAGACTATAAACGGCCGCTCCCCTTTATTTACAAATCCCTTGAAATGGAACAAAACGGAAGCAGGCAGAGGAGTGCTGCGTGCTGCTTCCTGGAATGTCCCCGGTGCCCACCTTCTCCCCGCAGCTGGGGCGACAGCTGGACCCCTGCCCTGTTAGATACAAGCGCTCCCCAACTCGCACAGGTGTCAACATACCCCCTGCCTACGAAGTCCGTTGATTGGCGTCTAAATCCGTGATCTCGCAGAAGGAAATAACATTCTAATTACACTCTCGGGCCATCTCATAAAAGGTCTATCGAGTACATAACATACCCCAAACCTAGTGATGAGCACAGTCGGAATCGTCTCAAGTGCAGCTACCACTTTAGAAGAGGGATGCAGTGGACACAGCACGCGGAGGTCCGGCTCGGGCACGGCGACACCGTCTCGTTGGGTGAGGGAGTGTGGTCTCTCCGTCCCAGGGGGAGGGGAGCTGCCAGATGCCAAGGGCACGTGGCAGGCAGGCCTGCTGTCTGCACAGCGAGGGGCGGCCCAGCGAAGCCAGGTGCGGGAGGATTTCACCCTCCAAGGACGAGGAACAGTGCTTTGCGGGGCCAGGGGCAGCAGAGCGAGGGCCAGTGCAAACTCTATCAGCACCGAAACGGGAGGGCGCGTCCACATTCAGAGAAAGCCCCAAACCCTCGTGACAGCTGTTCTGTCCCACTGACGTGGGACACAATCACCTACTCAGAAATGGGGGATGAGATCCATGTGAGTGGGGGTGGAGGTTTCTCTCTGAAAGCCTTTGAAAATTCATAAAACGGGGGCGCCTAGGTGGCTCAGGCGGTTGAGTGTCCAACTTCGGCTCACGTCATGATCTCACAGTTCGTGAGTTTGAGCCCCGCGTCGGGCTCCGTGCTGACAGCTTGGAGCCTGGAGCCTGTTTCAGATGCTGTCTCCTTCTCTCTCTCTGCCCCTCCCAGGATCATGCTCTGTCTCTCTCTCTCAATGATCAATAAATGTTACAAAAAAATTTTTTTTTTTTTTTAGAAAATTCATAGAATGGCCAGAGCAAAACTCCCAGGGCTGCCGGCGAGCTGAGGCTCACTGAGAAGGGGAGCCGGGGACCTGGCCTCTTCCGCCAGGGCTGCGTCCAGTGTTTTGTATTTTACAAAGAATCTTCACGCAAGCCACCACTTTTGAGCTGCCCGACCCTTCAGGTGGAGCGGAAAGGAATTCCATTTTCTGATGAGAAAGGAGCCGTCCAGAGAGGTGGGTGAAGACCCTGGGCCTGGCAGGCGGCAGCTAAGGGTCAAAGAATCCAAGCTGAGGACCCAATGCGACTGAGGACTGCTTTCCAGTACATTGAGCTGCTGCCCTGATGCAAACCCAAATGCTCAAGTACTTTTTCTGAAGCTACACGACAACCTCAAAACACACGCCGCCCAACCACAAAAATAATTCTAATGGGGCTGACGGAGCAGGGAGTCAATCCTGCGCTTCCCAGAGTGTGCACACGCTTCCAGACACCATAATACCGCCGCTACGAGACGTTACAGAAGTATATACTCCGGAGGCAAAAGAACAAACCCACCTGCCCAGAACGAAAACAATCAGACCAGGTCATGTCTGATTATCCGCAGAACCAGCTGGAAAACTCGCACACATGTGCTCTTTTCCAGAAGAAGAGGCGCCTGGGTAAGTATTTGACTCTTGATTTCGGCTCAGGTCACGATCTCACGGTTACGAGATCAAGCCCTGTGTGGGGCCCTACACTGAGTGTGGAGCCTGCTTCAAATTCTCTCTCTCTCTCTCTCTCTCTCTCTCTCTCTCTCTCTCCCTCCCTCAGCCCCTCTTTGCCCCCCCCCCAAATAAATAAATAATATAAAATTTTAAAAAAGAAATCCTTGGAAGAAGAAATAAGAAACAGGTTCTTTCATATACGGTCCGCTGGGACATCCAAGGTCTTCTGTTTGGCTCTTACCTGAAAACTATCTCAATACCAAGAGGGAAATTAAAGCTCATCGCCAAGTTTTCCTGACACGGCCTTAAAGGTGAGTGCCCTGGTTCCCCGTCGCCAACAAGGCTTCCGTCACAGATGCAGCAAGTGTCTGCACCACATGCAGAAACTATGCCCTTCTTTGAAATGTTTGTGGAACGTTCAAGAGAGGGATTTGCCGCCAGCAAGAACAAAAATAAAGAAAAGCTCCTCAAATTCAGGGTGAAAAAAAAAAGCAGAAATTGCACAGGCCACACCTCCCTGCGCTGCAACAAAGGTTCAACAGAAGCACCAGCCCCTTGGAAGCAGAGCGACTCACGCTGTGTACCTTTAAGAATATTCAGGCGCGGGGTGCCTGGGAGGTTCAGTCCGTTGAGCAGCCGACTTAGACTCAGGTCATGATCTCATGGTTCATGGGTTAGAGCCCTGCGTCGGGCTCTGTGCTGACAGCTCAGAGCCTGGAGCCTGCTTTGGATTCTGTGTCTCCCTCTGTCTCTGACCCTGCTCTGCTCACACTGTCTCTCTCTCTCTCTCTCTCTCTCAAATAAATAAATAAATAAAATATTTTTTAAAAAACTAAAAAAGAATATTCAGGTGCAGGGACCGTGGGAGAGGAAAAAGAGAAAAGAGAATTTGTTATGTTTACAATCTGCACTAAGCAAAGGAACATTTAATTAATTTTTTTAAAAGTGTATTTATTTTGAGAGAGAGAGAGAGAGCGTGCACACATGAACAGAGAAAAGAGAAGAGAGACGAGGGTTAAGAGAGACTCCCAAGCAGGCTCTGTGCTGCCGGCACAGAGCCCCATGTGGGGCTTGATCCCGTGAACTGTGAGATCCCGACCTGAGCTGAAATCAGGAGTCAGACCTTTAGCTGACTGAGCCACCCAGGCGCCCTACCATTTTTTTTTTTAATTTTAAAGACGCCTTAAAGAATAGTTGTCATAGGAACACATTTGCTCATCGCATGTGAGAAAAACCTGGCTGGTCTGCCAACGACCAAACAGTAAGATGTTTTGACAAAAATACTCTCCATTCTAGACCCCCTAGAACCAGCTTTTAGGATGAGGACAATCTCCAACTTTCTTTTTTGTGTTCTGGTATAAAAACCAGTGTCATGAGCAGATCCATGGTTGTCTTGCTCAATACTGAGCGCATTAGCCTGTAGCAGCTACTCAGTAAATATTTGCGGAATGAATAGATAATATATACATTACACACAATAACATATAGACACTCACACATTAAGGGACTGGCTAAAAAGTAACTGCACCTAAGCACAGTGGAATAGCACACCCTCATTTAAAACGATGAGGCAAAAACATTTATTTCACTCGGCAGGACTTCTTGTTACCCAAGAGTCAGAGATACAGAAGCTGACGGCAAAACGGTTTCTATCGAAGAAACATGCCTTGTCTCTCATCTCTCTCATTCTCTGTCTCTCTCGCACTCACGACGTTGAAAAATCTGCTTACGAGCCTGACAGACATGAGCCAGTAAAAGCTATTTCATGATTATGGGATGTCTCTTATTATATGGCTAAGGTCTGAGGAAAGAGAAAGACGTTTTCTCTCCCGTGGGTCAATCTGCTTTCACTTCGGAGTTGTACAGAATCGTGTCCCATCCCCTGGGTGGCCCCTTGCGGACGGTGGCGGCTCCCTTGTGGCCGCTTGTCCAGGCCACCTGCTTGATACTCGAATCAGCCTGAACGCAGCAAGGAGCCACCACGCTGTTCGGTACTTGTCACCACCTGTAACTGCAGTGTCTGTCATGGAACTGTAAGAAACCAGTTCAAATGTCGGGTTTTATATCACACAGAACCCACCTGCTATAAAGGAATGAAATTCCCAGTTAAACAAACCCAAGAACCAGCAACTCAGCACGGCCAGTATTTATCTCACTTTCAAAGCACAGAAAACACACCTAACTGTGCACCACTGAGTAAGAGTTAACCCCCGCATGGCCAGTGTGTAGGGCAACAAGAAGTAAACGCTCAAATATGTCGGTCTGGATACACGAGCCAATCAACCCTTCCATTTACCTGTGATGACAACTTCTTAGTGCTGAGCCTGGGTCACCGGGAGCGGTTCCTTCACGGGGGCAGGGCCTTTCACGGCAGCCTTGGCCGTCAGAAGGTAAAGGAGGAAATGATGACGATGTGTCCTCTGGACTGTCCCCAACTCTCCACCACCTTGGAAGAGGAAAGTCACCGTGACCCTACTTGGACAGCAGTGGAAAATCCTATGCCCCCCTCCCCCGCCCCCCGCAGCGGCCCCCAAAGAGGAGGGGGCTCTGGGGCCAGGGTGGGCGTGCAGCCCCGAAGGTCCCCGAGCGCCGCGCAAAATCCCAGACGTCAGACCACCGTGGGCTTTTCTTAGGAAGACGTTGACACTGACACTGGACGCCGAGCCTCCCTGCAACTTAAGAAGGCGGGGAAAGCACGGACACGCAGCGGTCCGTCCCCGGTCGGCGTGCGGTGGGCGTGGGGGCAGAGCCCGGCTTCCGGACGGCGGCCCGCACCGCCCCGCGCCCCCCGGGGCCGCGCCTCCGGGACGCGGGGAGACCAGGGCGCGGAAGCGGCGCGCCGGACCCGCGAGGCCGGGCTCGGGAGAAACGTGGCGCGGCGCCGCTGCCCTGGGTCGTCCCGGCCGCGGCCGGGGCGCAAAGTGCGGCAGCGACTCCAAGCCGCTCCGCGGGGGAGTATCTCCCGTCCGTCCGCAGCCTCGGGGGTCCCGGGGTCCCGGCCTGCGGATACCCAGCCCCGGGGATCCCAGGGGTCTCAGGTGACGCCCCCCGTCGGTGACGCCCCAAATCGGCAGCGCCGAGGGAAGGGCGCGCCCTAGGCCCCCGCCCGGTAGGCCTTCCCTCCCGCGGGACAACCTGTGGACGCGGCGTCTCCGGAGGCGTCCTGGGCGCTCGGAGGGAGGCCCGGCAGGGGGCGGCCCCCCTGGGCCCGAGGATCCCCCGCGGCCGACCCAGCGCTCTCGGCCCGCGCCCCCGGGTCCCGCGCATGCGCCGCCCGGCCCGGCCCCTCCCCTGGCCGCCGCAGCTCCGGGTCCCGAGAAGGGGAGGCCCGGTCCGCGGACCCCCCGCCCGCTCGCGCGCGCGCCCGCCCGTCCGCGAGCACCTGGGGCCGGTCCGCCGCCTGCGGGTCCCGCCGGGCGAGCGCGCCCAGGGAGGCGGCGCGGGGCAGGGCGCTAGCTGCCGCCGCCTCCGCCCCCGCCGCCCGCTGCCCCCGCCGCGGGGCCGCCTCGTCCCCTGCCCATGCCCGGCGCCGCCTCCCCGGGCCCGTGCCAGCCGCGCCCCCCGCGGCACGCGCCGCCCCTCGGCCCCCCGCCCCGGCCCGGCTGCGCGGGCGGCTCGCGCGGGTGGCCGCCGGAAGCCCCGCCCCGCCCCGGGCCTCCGGCCTTGCCCCGGGCGGGACACACCTCCCCGGCGCCGGCGCCCGATTGGCTGCACGCGGGGTCGGAGGCGGGGCCGCGGCCTCGGAGGCTCCCACCTCGTGCCCGGCGGCGGCCGCACCAGCGGGGAAACTGAGGCCGGGGAGGCGGAGGGACTGCCGGGGTCCCCGGGCGGGCGGGTGGGGCAGCGGACGCAGCTGGAAGCAGGGAGGGGCTGAGGTCGCGGCGGGGGCTGGCGCGAGGCCGCGGGACCCTGGGGGTTCCCGCCCGGCGCCCAGGCCACGCTGGCGAGGCCCCTCCGCCCTCGGGAGCCCTGGCCTCCGACCAGCCGGTCTAGACCCGGGCGGAGGCGCGAGAGCCCCCGAGTCCCGGGGTGCGCGGGGTGCGCGGGGTGCGCGGAGTGCGCGGGGTGGGGGCAGGCGGGAAGAACCAGTCCCAAGGACCCCGGAACGCCCGAGAAGGAGAAAGAGAACGCGAGCTGGGAGGACGCGTCAACAGGTGGCGGAGGTGCCGCGGTGCGCGGGGGACGGAGAGGGGTGAAGGGCAGCGGGGACAGCGCGGAGACGCGCGGCCAACTCCGACCACCCGCCCCGCACCCGCACCCCGGCTGCGGGAGAGCCGTGCCCCCTCCCGCCGTGCGTCAGGGGACAGGGCCTGACTCTGTGCCCAGCCAAGGCGCTGGGCCCCCGCCCGCGCAGGGGGAGGCCGCGGCCGGCCAGCCAATGACGACGAGCAGGGGGGAGGCTGCAGAGCCGCTCTGTGTGCGCCGCGACGCACGGAATGCGCAAAGCCCCCGGTGCCAGCGCATCAGGACACCCCTCCCTTGGGAACGAAATGTGTGCTATGCCAGCTTTCCTCCCTGCCCAACCGCCGCTCCTGCCGCCGTTCTATTTGTAGCGGCGGGCGCCCGGGGGACCTGCTCGGGGCAGGAAACCCAGCGCGGACAAACCCCCACATTCCGCAGGGACTGGGGCCCAGGCCGCACCTGGCCCTTTCACAGACACTCTTCAACTCGCCTGTGTGATCGGCTCCTAGGTGTGGTGAACTTTGCCCCACCCTGCAGACACCCACATAACCTTCCCACTCGCACAGCGACAAGCCCAACTTTTATTGCACATCCTAGCAATAGCCAGCATTTGCGTTATGCTTCGGTTTTCAAGGTGATCCTAGTTATGTGCTGGCTCTTGCATAGCTTGTGCAGGCAGCAGAATGTCTATGAACGCAGCTAGGAGCCTCCCCCGCCCCTGCCCTGGGTGTCATGGATATAAGCAGCAAGGGAGGTACAGAGCTCATGTCCTCATGAGGACATCCAAGTTCAAAGACGTCACCTGACACACTCCAGATCCCAGGCTGTGAAGAACCGAGAATCCAAACGCAGGGTGTTGGCTCCTCTTCCCAGATCCGCTGTGATGGTCAGCCCCGAGCCCCGTTCCACCAGGCAGCCGGGAAGATCTGGTAAAAATCGTTTCCAGGGAGGACAAAGGAGTGGTGTTTACATCTAGCAGAGTGGAGGAATTATATTCTTGGGTTCTTGGGGCTCCCGAGGTTTTAGGGAGACAAAAGTCTGTTTTTCATGCATGTGCTCGAAGTCGTCACTTTTGAACAAAGTTGTCACTTTTGAACAACAGCTTCCACCTCCCACGCCGCCAGGTACAAACAGCTCCATGAAACAGCTCCAAGCATGGGGGCAGGGGCGTGGGTTTCTGTTGGCCATGAAGAGCCTGTCACACACTTCCCCCACAGGAGAAACTGTCACAAAGGACACACCCCACCCCCAGCTCCTGTAAGTCTCTCCCTCCTCTCTTACCACCAGCGTTACAGAATGTGAGCAATGCGACAGAACAGAGACAGTACCTATGCAGGGCTGAGCAGAAATCTGTAACTTCAGAGACACATTATTGCTCTTGACAATGTGTCTGAGCACTACCTGGGTCCCTCTGGAGCCTTACTAAGTACTAGGAATGTTTGGGGTACAGAGCTTCTATCTCTTTGGTGCTGATGCTGTTTTAGCTTTCTAATCACGGTTTCTAATCCTGAAGATGTTCAGAGACATAATGTATTATTGTGCCCACATTACAATCGGGAGGCCGAGGCACAAGAGAGGTCCCTTCCTACACTGGGTCCCATAGGCCAGTTGCAGAGCCCAGGTTTGGAGGCGGGTCTGTGGTCCCCATGCCTGCTGAGCCGCTCCTGCATGTACCCACTTGCCCAAGCCTCTCCCCTGGGCCTCTGGGGGAGAATCCGGATGCTGGGCCATCCAGAGAGGAAGGGGGGTAGCCGGCGGAGGCTCCCGCCACTTGATGCTGGCAATGGGATAGACCCTGAACTCGTAAGAAGGCGGTGTCAGCCACCTGTGTTAGGAGAGAATGTAAGACCTGACTGCTGGCCCCAAGCCCTGTGGGGGTAAAGCACCCAACATGAGTCTGGGGGTACAGGCCAGAGTCTGTCTGTTTGCCCTACAGCTTAGGCAAGCTCTTTTCCAGGAACCGAGGCCTCTACAGGTCACTCGTTTGCCCTTTGCTGATCTGCAAAGCCTCTGATGAGAAGGACTTTGTGCCTGGGAGTGTCATCAGTCAGGGCCGTGGCCTCTGATCTCCTGGAGGCCTGCCCTCAGGTCAGATGGTAGAAATCGATGGGGGCAGGGAACACAGACTGAGAAAGGGAGAGTTCACCGTTGGCTAGTTCAGAGCTGCCCCGCGGCCCGTGGCTGGACCTCAGTGGGAGGCCGGCTGAGGGCATGTGCCTGGCTGCCAACCTAGCGATGACAGCAAAACCGCATGGGTCCAGATAAAGACGTCTTGTCACGTTAAGGCATGGAACTCACAGCGGTCCCACAGGGCAGCTAGCTCCCTCCCCATTGTACAGATGAAGAGACCCAGGGCCGGAAATGATCTCATTTGGCTGAAATCTCCAAGAGGGAGCAAGAACCAGGCTGTCTGAGTCCAAATCCATTCCGCCGGCTGCGCCGGTCCCAGGATACCCCCAGAGGTGGGCTGTCTGGTCCGAGAGCCAGCGCTCCGCTGGCCTGGTAACCCAGCTGCCTCCGGCAGATACAGGAATCTGGTTAAGGACCAGTCTTGGCCCCAGCACTGTGGGGTGGCAGGAGAGGCCATGTTCAAGGGGAGACAGTGGAAATGGTCCAAGAACCCAGAGGCGCCCTGGAGGGGCATTTGGCTTGATTCCATCATTTATCATAATAAGTGATGCGCGTTAACTGCGTGTTGTCACTGAGCCTGTCCCCTGCCAAAGTTTACAGGCTGACTTTGCTCGAGGCTCCATCGCACTGTGGGTCTCTGTCTCTCATCAATCTTTCTCTGTCGTTCTTGAGAAGCCCCAGATAGCAATGCTGCCCCGCCTCTCCCTTCCCAAGAGAGAGACAGCCTCCCATCAGCACTGGCTAGCCGTCCCTGGGGGCTTAGGATGGGGGCTGGGTCACTGACGCCTTTTGCCCAGTTTAGAGCAATGGGCTTGGAGTTTCAGGACCCATGTGACCTAGTAAGTCAGAGCCTCGCCATAAAGCGTGATGGGCAGGTGGCTTTCGTTGATAAGGGATGTTCCATGCTGCTGGAGACGGGTCCACAATTATCTGAGCCGGGTACGGAATTATGCTGTTGCGAGTAGGCAAGGTCGGGGGAGTGCAGACACATGATAAAGTGCGGAGACCCGCAAATACATGATAAATACA